AGGTCAAGACAGTTCAGCCTGCACCAGTCTGAAAGAGTATCTCAACCTGCAGCTGTCCTCTGAGTTTGGCGGTGTCCATAATAACGGTGTCATCCGAGTTTTAATGTCAGATTCCTGGGCTGGTGCTCCTGCAGTCATTTTGTGTACAGTGTGTAGAGAATAGTGGAGATTACTGAGCTCTGGGGGGCTCCTGTGGAAACTGTCTGGGTGAGCTGAGAGGTGACCGTGACTCGACCCTGTGGTTTCTACCTGTCAGAAATGAGAGGAACCAGAGGATCAGGTGCTGTTGGTAACCAGTTCGAGCAGTGTACGACCCATCAGGTGGGTTGCACAGTGTTAAATCTACGTCTTGTAATGTACCGGAATTCTTTTCTCACACTGACAGGCTTAAATTGTTGTTTTGAGTCTCCCAACACGTTACTGAAAGGACAGTGCAGAGGAAGATCATTATTGTTGAGGCAAGATCTTTTTTAAATCACAATGAGAAATAACCACACCCATTATGAAAACCACCAATTTGACCTCAGGACACATCAGCTGTTGATCTACCACTCCCATGACTGATTACTTTGCTTTTGTTGCTCTGACTTTTGTCTTTGAAATGGTTATTTAAAACAGGGATGTCATCATTAACTAGTTAATCGCCATTATTTAAGGTCTGAAATTAATGCAATTTTTTTTTTGATTGCGATTAATCCCATGCTCTTTTGTCCCTTTAGTTGCACCGTAGATAAGCCTCCTCAATGTCTCCCTGTTGTCACAGTGATGAAAAAGAAGCACTCTGCTCCATCTTTAAAAGAAATATCCACCTCATCATATAATTTCATTTTGTTAATGTTCCTTTGAGCTGCTTTCATTTATTCTTTGATATTTTCTCATGGTCAAGTTAATGCTGTAACTTTAAACTACCAGAAGGTCCTTACTCTATTTCAAAACAAAAGCATTGTTGAATTCAAACAGCAAGTTAAGTACTCCCAGCTTAAGCAGGTAAAAACATTCAAAATAAAAGCCTCAATTGTTATTCTTAAATACAAAATAATGGAATTACAACAAGATAAAAACCGTGATTAATTGCAATCAACTATTGATATTTACAGCAGCAATGAATCGCCATTCAAAATTATAATCCTTAGTTTAAATCAGACAAAGTATCAGTGAAACAGACAAGTACACAAAAAAAGTTAACACTTGAAGAAGCCAGAGACGAGTAACTCCAATATTCTGTGAGGGTAAAATTTTATTTTTTTCAACAGAGTATGGCGGCTTTGAATGAAGCAATGTAACACTTGCTTTTAGTTTTAAAGCAGCATATTTTTCTGTAGGGATACTTTCCATAACTGTGTACGAGGCTGTCAGTGACAAAAACAAGCACATTTTGTAAATGTACCTTGACTTGGTGCATTTACCCGAAGGATAACTTTGCAGCTGTTACAGATGTGTTGTAGCTGCAAGCTGAAGAAAACTACTGGAGCAGCTTGATAAGGGTTTTAACGTGCACGTTATTTAAAAAATGAAACATTTGGTCCAAATGTTTGGAAATCACTCTTTGAGATTGAGCATTTCATTGTATCTTGATTAATACAGTATAACAAAGAAAATAAAGTTTATTTAAGATTGTATAAACTTGTAAAAATCTAAAATCAGTGGTACAACAATAATGAGCCACATAAAAACTCACAAATACAAATCTTTATTTGATATAAAAGGCAAACAGATTGTCCTCATCATTCATGTGTATACTGACAGCACACTGCTCTGCACTGCATATTTACAGTGTTTGCCTTCGTTTTCTTTGGAGTTGTGGTTATACTGTATCTAACTTCAATATGAACACACGTGGAGGAGCAGCGGTGGGAACAAGCTCCACATCAGCTGAAACTCCAACATTCAGGAATGTTCCAATAATTTAACACCACAGAGTTTATTGTGTTATCCTGTGTGGAACAACTCATCCTGCTGACGCTCTGTATCCGACCTGAATCTGACTGTAACACAAGAAAACGTGAAAACAGAGACAAACAGTATGTAACATATCCTATATGAGTACTACTGCACCTGTACTTCAAGTAAAAATATCATCTCAGAAACATTGTCAAGGCACTGTAGTGATTAAGGATGTGTATAGTTACCATAGCAACACTTTATTACAGACTATGAGTAAAGGTTTGACTATATGAACACAGAGCAGATCTGAGGGTGAGATGTATATCAGGGGTCAATAGTCATAGTATTGATACCCAGTGTATTGGGTACTTAGGCTACCATCATAACTATTGTTGTTTAGGGCACATTAACACTTTTTAGTTCAACTGAGTCGTTGGTTCAGACAGTTTGCACAATAAACAGTTGTACACGTTGTCCTGTAACATGCATTTAAAAAGAGTTTATATTATATTTCATATTATATTTTTTAACAATATTGTTTTGACTTGTTAAGAGTTAGATGCGGTTTTTTCAGTACCACTAAAATGTGTGTTCAGTGAATATGAAGCCACAGCCAATCGGCAGCAGCTTAGCTTAGCTTAGCACAAAGACTGGAGGCTGAGGAAACTGCTAGCCTGGCTCTGTCTAAAGGTGACAAACTAATGACCAACAAATCTAAAGCTTTCAAATCAACATGTTTGATCTCATTTGTTAATCAGCACCAAATATTGAGGTATAAACATTAAAGGTCCGGTAACAGAGATTTTTTATAAAAGTGACTTCTAGAGTCCAACAAAAAAGTGGATTGTTATTCACTTTATCATGTTTAAGATGTATGAAAGAAAAAAATGTTTAGAACAAGTATTTAAGAGATGTTTTAAGGCAGATGATTTACTTCAAGACAAAGACAAGCTAGCTGTTTCCCCCTCACTATCATACTGAGCGAACAAACTGAACACTTTACTGTAATCTACAGTAAAGACATGAGAGCAGTATCTGTCCTAATGTCCAACTCTTTACAGGAAAACAAAGAAAAAACTTTTCTTGAAGTAACTTCAAATTACAATTACAAAAATGCCCAAAAAAAAAAAAAAAAAACATTTAGGAGAAGCTTTTAATAATTCACTCCCTTCATGAATCATGACACATTTCTCCTGCCGCCAAGACAGAACACAAGCAGCTTGTACAACGATAATTATTATCAGAATGGATATCATCATCCCAGCTCTGATGATGTCGACCACATTATGTTTTACTGCTCACCTTTACTGTACGTACAGGTATGTTGAAGAGCGAACAACAGAGCGAACATAAATACCCTCTTATTCAACATTAATACAGAAGTTTATGTGAATGTTTAAATGTACATTAACATGCAGAGGAACACGTTTGATTAAATCCAGTGAGAGTGATTAAATGTCACTTTCTTTCTTGTGTCCATAAATATTTGTGGTATTTATGTTGCAGTATCAGTAATCTTGGATAACTGGCAAGCTGCCAATGCAGATACAAACAAGTATGGACTTTAGAAAAAGTGTGTTTTTTGTTCATAGGATTGACCATATTGACCTATACTATGACATAATCTCATTCAGCCCTTCCATTTTTCTCCTGGAGTGCATCATGACTTTTATAAATGTATTGTTATCCACAACAAAGCAAAGCTTTTTTTTTTTTTTCATTTTTTTTTTTAAAGGTAATGATTCTGCACCCGGTCGACCGCAGTTGGTCATTGTGTCTTTGGTAGACTTATTTGGTCGAAGAACCGATAATTTGAAGCAGGAAGATGAAGATCTGGACGATGTCGACGTAGATGGAGAGGGCGGCGAAGACGTACTCCTCCGGACTGATAGAGTGCTTCCTGTTTCCTATCAGCAGCTGTGTGTGGTACGCTAGGAACTACAAGACACACAAGAAACCCTCAGAACAACAGTGTGAAACGTGTTCAGTGATACATAACGTAACACAATGAGAGCATTTCAATAAAACACTCACCATGGTGAAGGCTATGGCTCCTATTGCTGCATACAGCATGTGAAGCCACAGCATCTGCAACAATAAAGAACACCATCAGTAAAGTCATTAAACTAAAACACAAGATATCAGTATACTATGTTGTATATGGCAGCAGATTAATCAGATCAAACTCACATATTGAAGGAAAGCACGATGGTTGTAATGATGCCCGTCACAAAAACTACGATCCCGAGCACACAGAAAAAGCCCTGGCACTTTGTGAAATCCACCTGGAAGAGAAAACAGCAACACATACGTTTGATTAACAAACACACTGCAGCCATATGGAGATGATGACACACACACACACACACACACACACACACACACACACACACACACACACACACACACACACACACACACACACACACACACACACACACACACACACACACACACAGAACACAGTGTACCTTTGTCTGGAAGCAGAAGACGGTGACAGCGATGCAGACGACAGCAGTGATGCCCAGAGCGAGAAACACTGCCTTTGTGTCGTAAAAACTAAAAACAAAGAGCAGCAAACAGTTAGGCCTGTAGGAAAAAAAGATGCAATGTTTATGTAATGCCAAACAAGCTTCGTTTTGTTTACCTAGAAATGCTTCCAGTCATGTAGGACAAAGCCAAAGTCTGTCAAAAATAAAGAAATAAACCATTATTTTTAATCAAAGAAACTCAGCATTCCTGTAACAGACTTGAACAGCTTTTCTTATAATCTATAAATAGTACTGGGGGGAAATTTATAACTAAAACATGATAAATGCAATATATTAAGATGCATTCCAGTGCTTCAGACATTAACGTCATGAAGTATGTCGAGCTTTTGTTGAGCTGTAACGTCATTCACAACCAAATGTCTAAAGAGTTGAGGCAGAAAGACAAATGTGAATAGAAACTATAAGATGATTAGCAAAACATTGAAACCCTGTAATTAATTTAAAATAGAAGAAAGACGTCATGACTAATGTGAAATGTTGCTCTTTTTTTGTAAATTAAATGCCCATTTTATCTGCTACGTTTTAGAAACAGGTTTGTGGATAGGAAGATGAAAAGAAGACCCTTAAAAGCTGAATAAAAACAGATCTCCTCTTCTGACAGCTACAAATAGCTCTTCAAGTACCGCGGTACATGGAGCCATTTTAGCCCACAGATCTGATAAAATACATATCAACAAAGTGTCAAAGTTGTTGTGCAAACAAAGCCCGAGACAACCTTGGTGACTCACTTCAAAGTAACGTAAGCTACAGAAGTCAAGAAATAGAATTAATCCAAGTTCAGGGAGCGGCCTGTGATGACGCCTTTCCTGGTTAACAAGTCAACTACAAACCATGTGACTTACAAAGATGAGCAGCAGAATGACGTTCCATGGAAACTTCCTCCTGCAGACAGAGCGGTCATTACAAGATTAAAGCTGCTGCGAGGAGTTCTTCACTTTTCATGCAACAGACTGAAATTGGCATAGATTTCTCTTCATGAGCTACAGAAGCAAACACACCCGTCCGCGTCAACATTACTGATTTCTATTTTTTTTTTTTTTAATGTGGTGACGTTGTTAAAAACACTACTTACACATGTACAGAGTGTACATTAACGGAGTTTCCTTTGTTTACAGGAGGCACCCAGATACTATGATTGACTTCTTTATACTTACAAACAGTCACACTCACCGGGGGCCCTTACAGCAGACCAGCACCATGTGGGTAATGAAGTACACAGCACTAAAACAGATATATGAAGATGAAAGGGTTAATAGTCACACACGTTCTCTTTAATCCATATAAAACTGCATATCTGACTTACTATGACGCCCAGTAGATGGCTTGGTTTCTCTGTACGAAATATCGGACAGGCTCGCTGTGAGAGACAGAGACACAATTACAGCGTGATACACACAAACACACATACATACACACATACATACACACATATACACTGACACAAATACATACACACATGTACACTGACACAAATACATACATACAAACATACATACACACATGTACACATACATACACACAGACACACAGACACACAGACACGCATTCAAACACACATTCATTCAAACACACACATAAACATACACATTCACCAACACATACACATACAGACACACACACACACACACACACACAAAGACACACAGACACACATGCACACATAAACATACACATTCACCAACACATACACATACAGACACACACACTGACACACAAACACACACACACACAGACACACAGACACACACACACACTGTTTACTCACACAAATGTGAATACTGCCACGATGGATGTGGTGAGGAGGAGCTGAGCCGCCAAAATCATGTACACCTGAAACACACGTGAAGACAATAAAAGTGTTTTAGTTTCATCAACACGGCGCATTCTGTCCACAAGACTAACATATATGTAAATAAATACAGATGACAGCCAGGGGTGCTTAGCTCTGTGACTCGATATGTTAGACACGGTGGTTTGTGTGACAGTGTGTGTTTTACCTTCCTGATGAAGGCGTGTCGAATGCTCATACTGTCCCAACCGCCATCGCTCGCCGCAAAATCATCACCTGTGACATCAGCAGAACAGTAATATGAGAAAACTGACCACAGCGCGATAAAGGGAACATGTTCTTTATCCTCACTCAGAGCTGACGCAACATGCCGTAACCACATGTGAACTGTTCAAGTCAGAAAGATGAAGCATTATAGTGAATGTCCACAGATGTTGTATGGATGCCCAGTTAGTGGGCTGAGCAGCAGGATGTCTCTCATGAACACCTGTGACTGACGCTCTGTTTCAGCTGCGGAGCACCCGTCTGTCTGTCTCTAGTGACCCGCAGGTTCACTCTATCTAGCTTGTTGCCTGTAGCTGTCATAACAACAGCAGTATGGACCCAAAATGAAAAAAGTTGAGTTGTGATTAGATGAACTATATCAAGGGGCAGATTTGTAAAACAAAAAAAAAAACAAAAAAAGTGTAAGTACATGAACTGCCATGACCGTCTCCCGAGGACGCTGAGAGTTAACACTGAATTCCTCATTCAAGTTTTATATCTTAATCAATATGCAAATGACACAAATGAGCTTGACTCATATTAAGTGACCAGCAGGATTCACATTAACTTAGTATGTTAGTCTCTCCTTGTTGTCTGAACCTATCTATAAAGTGTGGGTAGTTGTGCTGTGATACCTTCAGACAGAACCAGGCTGACTTTCCCCATGTTTCCTCAGAGAGACTAGCCATCTCCTGATTGTGCCTCTGTATTTGCTGTACTGATATGAGTGGTATTGATCTTCTCATCTGAATCTTCCTGAATGTGGTTTAACTAATTTAAGCCTCAAACAGAGTGATTTTTTTTTATGAATATAAAGATGCATTCAAACTTTTTTCTTGACTACATTCAAATTTGGTGGAGGACTTCTTAGAAGAGTTTTTAAGCCCAGGTGTAGGTTATGTTTTTCTGAAAATAGTCAAGCCAGTGTAACTTCTGTAACGTCATGGCAAAGCACCAAAACATGTAATTCTTCAGAGAATAATCTAAGGTGAAAGCCTTCAGTTATCGGGCTCCTCTCCTCTGGAATCGCCTTCCAGCCGGGGTCCGGCAGACACAGTCTGTATTTTTAAGAATAGACTTAAAACTTTCCTTTTTGATAAATCTTATAGTTAGGGCTGGTGCTGGTGTAGACCAGCTCTTAGTTATGCTGCTATAGGCTGAGACTACCGGGGAAACTGGCACCTTGAGCTCCTCTCTCTCTCTCTCTCCATATACAGTACATCATATTACTGCATGTATCTATCTGTAAATCTCAGTCACTAACCACCTACTTTCCTGGAAGCTCTTACGCTCTCTTAGGCTCCTCAAGATCGTTGGTTGACGGCCTGCCAGAACTGCCCCCCCCCCCCTTGCTAAAGTGCTCATGATGGATAGGCCGGATCTTTGTAACATAACAATGAGTAAGGTCTTTTTACCTGCTCTTTTGTAACATAACAATGAGTAAGGTCTTTTTACCTGCTTTTTGTAAAGTGTCTCGAGATAACACTTCTTATGAGTTGACGCTACACAAATAAAAATTGATTGATTGATTGATTGATCATACATCACACAGTCTTACCAGAGCTCAGGATGTCTGATGGGATGGTGGGTGGCATGACAGGGGGCATAGGCGGGGGGTTGGGGTAGCGCCCCCCTGGGTGCCCAGCAGGGTGAGGCTGTCCTTGATATGGGCCAGGAGCATAGCCTCCAGGCTGGCCTGGGTACAGGGGGGTGTTTGGACCGGTGGGGTAGGGAGCAGGGGGCTGACCTGGCTGCGGACCACCATAGGATGGGAAGCCATACGCAGGGGGTGCTGGGTAATTCCCACCCTGAGGCGGGTACAGCGGGCCCCTGGAGTCGTCATACCCTGGAGGGTAGTCTGACCTGGACATGTCACCTGTGAGGAAGGTAGAAAGAGACGTTAACGTGTGATTCATGTTGGAAAGCTGAGAACCAAAAAAACAAACCATGAGATGCCCGAGTGAAATATGTTGTGGCATCAGTTTTTTAGAACGTTTTTTTTAATCAATTATCATCAAAAAAGGAAGAACACAAGCTTTCAAGAACAATACAGATAATAAATTAGAATTCCACTGTAACGTCTGTCAACATGAAACTGTCCCAACAAATCCAGCAAGAATCTAACTGCGATGAAGAAGACATTATAAATCAAAACAACAAAAATGAATAATTAGAAGTCAAGTATTGCGTTGTAGTAATTATTATACTTTAAGAATTTTAGCTGACATGGGGGAATTGTCTCAGTTTTAGTACGCTTATATGAAATTAAATAGAATGTAAGTCTGTATGGAAACATTATGAACTTAAGCCTGATTTATACTTCCACATTTCCATTAATATACACTCATCACAGATTATCACACACACACACAAACACACAATTATATAAAAAAAAGTTTATAAAAAATAATGTCATTTCTTTTATTGTTTCTTTGGACATTTCAATGAATTATTAAACTTCATTTCACATCTCTTTTAATGCTCTTGTTGATCATAATGTTCTGTTTTTACATGTTAAGCACTTTGACTTGCTCCATGTATAAATTATTCTTTACAAATAAACATGCTTTTAATTTATCTTCATTTATTGCACTTCATGTTGTAATCCTAGAATTATTAGACAATGTTATCACTGATTGCAGAGTTTGTTCACATTACCCAATGTTTCCTTTATCACACGTGCTCTTTAAATATATCTAAATACATCTCATGAAACACATTGACAACAACCTAAAAAACTTTGGATTGGGGCAAAGTTCAAATCCTCCTTTCCCGCATGTCATTCCCCACTCTCTCGGTTTATGACTCTATCCACTGTCCTGTCTCTAAATAAAGGCATTTTTTTTTAAAAAGCCCAAAAAATAAATCTTAAAAAAAAAACCTGTGTGTTGGTTGTGGTGTGATCTAATCATTACTTCTATAGGCTGGAAAACATGAATAAGATGCCCTTTCCTGTTGAAGGTGATGATGTTATTTTAGGAAAAGCCTCGAAAGATTCCACATCACATTGTCCAAAAAGAGTGCTGTTAATCACTTACTACCCCACAGCTCTTCATGATTCAATATTAAAGGAAGCAGTGACTGCCTCTGTTAGTTTAGTTGGGAAACATCTCGGACAGTTTATATATATATATTTTTCTTTTATCAAGCCTGACTTTTCAAAACAAGTATGCAATAATCCAGGCTTCAGTAACCTACAGCAGGCCTCAGACCTGAGCGTTGAGCTGCTGTGAATTATGTGCTCACAGATTTATCCAACACCAACATACGCCCGAGTTTTAATCTCAAACATTTGGGGTGAATTTATGCTTCTGCTTAGTAAAGTGGTTCCCAAAATCCCACCATAGGCCCAGAAATCACCACAAACACTTCTGAGGGAAATGTCTAATAATACACCACACATTGACACAATGCAGTCACTTAGAATATAGTCTAACTTTTCCCTGTTCCTGCCGTGATAATAAAAAAGGGCTGTGGTAGTTTTACAGGATACTCTTAAGTGCTTTAGCAACAAAACAATCCCACTTTTTACAATGTCGATTTGAAACACATTTTCTCCCACAATGGATTTAACATTTCTCCGATGATCTTTTCTATTTGCTACTTCACAGAAACTCAGGCAGCACATTATTTACAGAGACCGGCCTGTGTTTTTTGAAATGCAAAGTGTTCCCTGAGCTCTGTTTTCACTGTGACGTTTAGGGGACTAAACACAGTAAAAGAATTCAACAGCTGGCTCCACCTCGTGCTGCAGTTTCATCACATCCAGAGCACCAAGCAACAGGCCCCAAAACACTGCATGGAAAAAAGTGCTTCAGAGTTTGAGCAGTCAAACAGCCTCAGAACAAGACGCAGAGCTGATCACAGCTCGGGTCAGTGCGAGCACTCAGCAGACCAGAGGACTTAAGGCGTGTTTGAAAAGGAGGGCGTAACGCTTCTTAAAAGCTGACATTTAGAGGATAGAGGTCATAGACGTTGGAAAATGTGTTGTAGTGATAAAATATATCGTGGCTTTTGTTGATTTCCTACTAATCTCAATCCAACCACAGAGTGATTACATTATGAGTCACTGCTGTCAAGTTTTCCTCCTTCACAACACTGACAACATTAGTTTTGTCCACGTTGCTTCTTAAACATGTCTTCACACCTCACTTACACAGAGACCCTGTCATGGGTTTACTGAATAACAGAAACACCTCACAAGATAAAACCAGAAAGAACCAGTTTGTGGAGGTCCCTTTCAAATTGTGTTTGAGTCTGTTTTGAGTTTTGATTCGACTTGGAAATAGTCAGCTGTTGATGTTTATATAACCTACATCTTTCACCCTCTTTATATTAGAGAGAATGTATTGTTGTAATCGTTCTGTATTTGGCCTTCATCATGACACTTCTCCTTTTAGAATCATGTAATGCTGCAACACATGTCAGAACATCCTGCTCTGTATGATTTATGATTCATGTTTTTCATGAGTGTGGGGCTATTTAAGTTTTTTTTTGTATATTTGTAGGGAGAGAAGAGGTTCTTACATGTTTTGTTGTTCTCTATGGGTTATATCGTAATCCTGCCTTCTATTGTAAAAGAGTTAATATGTTCAAATCTAAAGGGAGGTGTGGCATCATCAAATACAAGAGAGTACATTTGTAACTTTCATGATATCTGCTTTTGCTCTTCAGTGACCTTCAGGCTAAAAATAAATGGTTAGGACAGCACTCTAAATTTAGTAATTTTTTGGGGGATTCAGCACCCAGTTGTTTTTGTTTTTGTTGAGTGTGCTTTTTGTCTATAAAAATAAATGGTACCAGATTCTGTGAGATCTCTTCCAGCAGATAAAACACAATGAAAACATTTTGAAGACATATTCAAATACAAAGAGCATGAGGGTTAAAACCGATATTATGATTTCTAATTGAAAACTGTTCGGACCAAATGTGATAAATTGTGATTTTAAAAAACTGGCATATGATTAAAGAAGAAAATAATTGTGGGTGAAGATACCATATGTTACATCAAATAACCTTCACATCAGTTATTATCTAAATCATTTTTATGGTTTTGCATATTATAAGTTCTCCTTGAGATTAAGAATTGAATTAAGGTAGAAATACATCAATTGTTTTAAATAGCACAGTTACATGTTGAGTATTGAGCTCTTTTTAAAGCTCCTGTGAGGAACTTTTGATTTGTGTTGATTTTAGCGCCCCCTTTGGACGCAGCTGAAAAATGTCTCTCTTTGCTTATTTGTCCTGAACATGTATTACTCCAAAATTTTTCCCACATACACTGTGTGCCAGCAGCGCCACTACGCTCTGCTACGTTTTAAATACGCCGCAAGTCTTTTTCCGACGCCGCAAGTTGCAAGCACGCGTCAAGTTAGACAGAATAAAGGGAGCCAGACAGGAAGTCAGAGGAGGACACACACACACACACACACACACACACACACACACACACACACACACACACACACACACACACACACACACACACACACACACACACACACACACACACACACACACACACACAGAGTGTGCGGCCAATTTCAAAACAAAACACGAGAAGGACTCACTATGGTATTTTTTCCATCACTTTATCAACATTAAGTCAAAACAGGCACCAAAAGAACAACACATCAAACACGTAAAGACAAAGCAGCGTGTTGTTTGCACGTTTTTCTCGTTATTCCCGCGTGATCTTGTAGTCCTCCTGGGATGCGTGTTCAGCATATCAGGGGTGCGCTTAGAAAACCGTGGTGCTGACGGCATGTGGAAATTGGGAGTAGGAAGTGGTTTTTGATCACATTTTTTCCTGAAGGCTGTTTCTGAAGCGTCCTGTTAATCACTTCATCAGTCTCCTTCTTCCCCTGCGAGCAGTTTCAGTACTTTATACTCTGATGTTCTGACTTTGGAAATAAGCGTCGGCTCAATGAATTGTAGAATTGTAATTGCAACAATACAGAAACCATGAATGTTATCGCTGATGGTCTTGTTGTCTGTTTTGAGTTTTAAAGAGATAACAGTCTTTATTTCACTCAGTTTAATATCCACCTAAAAACGCCTCACAGGAGCTTTAAAAAGCTAATTATGGGTTTTGAATAACCCGAAGAGGACTCATTTTTTATATGAAATTAACTAATTCAGTTATTTGTATCATCTCACCTGGAGGGCATTTCAGCAATGTTTATATTATATGTGGAAAACTAACTGAATGAACTAACTGAGAGGAATGCTATTGAACCACAAAGACACGACAATACATAATAACTAAGAGAAACATGTTTTATTTCTTTACTTATTGTTAAAAGTCAGATTAAGTAGGCCTATTGCCCGTGGTTCTTGTGTGTTTCAGGTGAAAGGCCCTGTGGCTAGCTTGGTTTCATATCCTACTGGGACACTTTAAAACCAGTTTAACATCAGTGTTCATGGTTACTCCTGTACTTCTCATGCTGTGACAATATGTCTGCACTACATTTCATCTATTGACAAGTTGAAGTTTGTGTTCTGCTTGCAGCTCAAAGTAGGATAGAGTGTGATAGTGAACATAAAAGTAGCCTCAGGGAGATATTTATCAATGGACGGTCTGCCTCCCCCCACCCCCTTGCTCCCTATCCCTCTTCCTGCATCTTATCCCATCTCTCCCCCTATCCCTTTCCAACCCCGGCACAGTCTAGGCCTGTGAAGGCTGTTTTATCATGAGCCGGGGATCCAGCCAAAGATCTCTGCCTTTTAATAAGGCAGTTTTTTCTTACCACTGTAACTTTTGCTACTTTGCTAAAAGTGCTCATGATGGATAGGCCGGGTCTTTGTAACATAGCAATAGGTAAGGTCTTTTACCTGCTTTTTGTAACATAACAATGAGTAAGGTCTTTTACCTGCTTTTTGTAACATAACAATGAGTAAGGTCTTTTTACCTGCTCTTTTGTAATGTTAACAGACAAAGAGTAAGGTATTTTACCTGCTTTTTGTAAAGTGTCTTGAGATAACACTTGTTATGAGTTGACACTATACAAAATAAATTGAATTGAATTGAATGTGCAACCCAAAATAAATGATCATATTTCAGATACCAAAGTTTAAAGACTTTTGTCTAAATATACATCTAAATCAAACTATATTCTCTGAGGTTTACTGGACTGTTAAACAAAGATGACTGAGCTGGGGTTTTTTTTTTTGACAAACAAGTTAACATGTCCAGAGCACACAGGCTGACCACACTCCACCCTATTCACCAAAACCTCCTCTCACAAAAAGCCTTTTCAGGTGTATGACGGACGGCAAAAACTAAACACACCCACACTGCTATGAATAGCCACCACAAAATACACGCTCCTCATCACACCACCAGCAGCAACAGATGAAGTCACAAACTGATACATTTAACAATCGTTCCGCAGCTTCAAAACAACATTAACTCAACAAATTAACTCAACTTACCGATTTAAGAGACAGCGACGTCGGAGGAAACCTGCTCGTCTTTATTCCGTGCGTCAAAATGAGGCTGAGAGGGTTTTTTTTTTTGGTTTTTTTTTCCGCTCTCAGTCACGCCCTCTCTCCGTGTACAGAAAACCCTCTAAAGTGCAGCAGAGTCCGGGTACAAGGTTGAACTTGTTCAGCAGCCTGTCAGTCCGTCCTCATGTGTGTGTGCTGCTGGGTGGTGAGCTGTGGATGTGAAGCAGCAGAGAGAGAGAGAGAGAGAGAGAGAGAGAGAGAGAGAGAGAGAGAGGAGCTTTTCCTGGAACAGTGAAGTGCAGCAGGGTGGAGTCCACAGGAATCTGTCACACACACACACACACAGACAAACACAAACACACCCAAACACACACAGATACACACTCGGAGACACACAAACAAACGCCCAGTGTGTGCGTCTGTGCTGGGCTCAAGGCCTGCCGGGTTTAGCTGACTCATTTTCAACAGGCTCGTCTCATGTTACAACAACATACTAGGTGCGTTTACTCTCTACACTTACTGTGTGTTTTATTTAGTATATAATCTAAACACACTACTGTACTTGATCATTTCACCTCACTGTGTCTGTAAAATAGATATATTTATCTTTTATCATCATTCCTTGATCTGAGATGAATCAGTTTTGTTAAAAACAAAATGATTTTTTTTGGTGACAACTTTACCTTAAATGACACAATCCTAAAACAGCACAACTGGATTTCATGTTTTATTGTTTGAACCGGAAAAATAAATGATTACATTTGAGTTTGTTTAAAGCAAAAATAGACAATAAAGTTCTTATCTATCTAAAGCAACAAGTATTTTCTAAATGTATAAACTATGACAAAATGATGACTTACTGTATTTATCTCCTGATACATTAAAACAATGTATTTAAATGGCTCTTGAGACATATTATGTACCTTGATTCTATGTTTTTCATAACACATACTCTCTTCTCAGGTAACAACATTCAGATCCATACATACATTCAGCTATAGTTCTTTCACACATGCACATCACTCGTGCAAATGTCAAGGAGGTTAAATACTGAAGCCCTGAGCAAACATGCATCCACACATTTTATTTACTGTGATGGAATATGTGTAATTGCTGGTTGTTTTCTTGACATCACGACTTATTTTTCTTGTTATCTGCAGATAAAAGTTAATTTGTGATTCTATTGTAATATCAAACTGCTGTGTTAGTGTGTTAGCAACATCCAGGACTTAGATGTCCTGAAATGATCTAGAAAACGTCAGGAGTTCATGTGTGAAAGGGGCTGCAGAGAGACATTAAACACACATACTCATACACACAGAAAACAATTCTGGTTTGTGAATCCTCAATGTGCCACCTAAGTAGCGTTGCACTTGGTCACAGTGGCACGTCAAACGTATTTGAGGACGAGCTGCTTGGTGAGGGTGTACTTGGGCTCGGCATTTGTTTGTGGTTTAAATAAACTCCTTTGCTGACCTCCCTGTTCACACGTGTCAGCACAGAGAGAATATTATCCATCTGCGAGCTGCACAGAAAACATCAGAAACATACATTTTAAAATTTGCTCAAAATAATCGATGGTTTATTTGAATAAATATCATCATTATAAACCCCACTTCAAAAAACCTATCCCTTTAATCCTAGTAGTATTAAAATAGTATTGAAGACTAACTTGATTTTCCACATTTCTAATTAATCCGTAGCTTCTGAATAATAAAAAGTCAACAATCAGAAACTCAAACCCTGCATCGAGTTGTCTCTCACCTCTCTGCTGATTTATGAAGCTGCCTGCAAAGCTCCTGGATGTAGACGGATCCAAAGGAAACGTGTCTAAACGACTTGTAGTCCTGCACGGTGGCCATGCCCAGAAGGAAGTCGGCATCCGAGGGCACTGTCTCTTCAAGCACAGGACCAGCATCTTCCTCCAGATGGCTCTGTCTGTCTCCGTCCTCGTGTCTCGGCCTGGGGGTAACGGCACGGCTCCTCCCTGGTAGCCCTTTCCCTGGCACGCCTGGATGAAAAACAGTTTGGGCTTCCCTGCTAAGGTGGGAGCCTTCTCGCTCGTGAAGGGCAAAGTCAGATCTCTGATGTACACCTCCTTCTCATCAGACCCGTACACACTGCCCTTTTCTCCGTGAGAAAGCACGCAAATCACCTGAGGACGGACACAGACAGGTTTTTAAATAGCAGTTGAATTAGGCTTGAAGTTTATAAGATCCCTAATGCCAAAACTGAGCTGGATCTAAACATGAGATGATTAAAGTGCACGCTATCACACTGAGCCACAGAAACATGTAGGCTAGCTTTGCTTTAAGGTGTGATTTGCTGGACAGGAGGTCTACAAACACTGTGTCTTTAAGGAAGGAGTAGATAAAACATTTCTCCTACTCTCTCTCATCTGTGTGCTTTGGATCAATAGAAGGGTTTCTACAGTGTTTTCCCAGCAGAATATAGCAGTGAACTCTAAACTATATGATTATATTTAATCAATGTGATCTGGACCTGGACCAGCTCAAAAAATGAATGAAGGGTTTGACCAGTTAAAATGAATGAACTCTGATGGTTCTCACTGAAACTCCTCAAACAAGGACTGAAAAGCTTCCAGTCAAATGTCACAGCGAATGCATTTCACAACCTACAGTACTAGAAAATATTAATAAAAAAGTTAAGCCCTTCATTTAAATTAAACACTTGTATTGCCTTCTGAGAACTTTTGTTGAAAAAAAAATAAAAAATTCTGTCTTTCCTATCTCCTCCTGACCGTCGGTAACCCTTACTATTCATATTCATATTCACTAGAAGACATAAGAGGTAAGGATTTGATCTTGTGCTGTATTTCTAAGCTGTCAAAGTATTCCTTTAGATAACACAACACAAATCCTATAGTGATGGTGTGACTGTTGTTACTGCTCTGGAGGTTTGTGAAACTGCTCACCAAGGCATCTTCCTCTAAAAAGCTCCTCTTGCTCAGCTTTGTCACTTCACGCTGCATGGCGTCTGCAGTCAGGTCGCGATGAACCACCATGGTAAAGCCGAGCTGGGAGAACACTTGACACAGAGCCTCTGCATCACATTAGAGAGAAAAAGAAATAAGAACAAGAGTTTATGATTTATTTTAAACGATCACATAATGTTTCTTTACTGACAAAAGGGATTTCTTATTCCAGTTTTTCAGATTTAGAATTGGTAAAAGCCTTTTTAAAATTAAATATAACAATCTGACAAATTAGTTTTTTTTAGCCAATAGAATTGTTATGTTGTCCCACCTCAACAAAATGCCTTTAAGTGGAGGTAAGCGGCACTAACTGGTTATTTGCTCCAGCAGGAGGGCAACATCTAAAAGAAAACTCCATGTTGACACCACGTTGCTGCTGAATTCACGACGACCACCATTGATCTTTACGCGGGGTTTCCCAGCAGTGTTTTTACACTGCACTGTTTATGTTTACAGGACTCATACAGACGTCTTCTTTTTGTGCTCAGGTCAATCAGCAGTCTCCACTGCACTAGGATATTATTGACCCGAAGTTTCATCAGTGAACACAAACTTTTAATTTGGTTTAATTACCTTTAACATGAAGATATATTGTAACACATCAACAGGTTGAATTATAAACTTAAATTCTTTGTTGAGAAACAGTGTTGTTATTGCGTGCTAGGAATCCTCCATTAGGTTTTAGCAAGAGTGAGTCACCTTGAGAAAGGAGAAGGGGGTTGACCTGCTTAAAACTGTAACCAGACAATTAAGTTTGGACACAGGCCAGTCTTGTGTGCTCTTGGTGAATTGAGGTGAGACAACGCTGATGAAATATGAGGCAGACTTTTTAAAATACATTTTATGTCTGTTCATTTTGACAGATATTTTTTTTTAAACGCTATAAATGAAACTGTCGGTTTGAATGATTATGATGACGTTGATCTGCCAATAAAGATTGATAATTAGTGAAATTAATTGTCATTCTACAATCTGGCTTCAACTCACATAAATTTCCTCCTGACTCTGTATGGATCGGTCAGAGTCTAACCAGCACTTTTTTCCTTCAGGTTTGATTTTACAGATCACAAACTTGATGTGAGAAATGGTGTAAGCTACTTTCAGGCCCCATTTTGTGCGCATGCAACGTTTATGAATGAGACCCCAGATTACATAGCTGGTTGATGACAATGATACAAACCTTCATCCTTATCAGACCCTCCTCTTGTTCTCAGACCCTTTAAGAAACTCTTGTTGTTGATGACCACACACTGTCCTCGAGGGCTATGATTCATGGCGTAATATTCCGTCTGAAGGACAATTCAGAACATTAATGAACCATAAAGTTGAATGAATGCATGTGAACATGGGGTTGTGTGAATGATGACCTGATCAGGAAGAGAAGGATGCTCAATCTGGGGTCTGGGGTTTGCGTCCGAGTACACACTCTCTCGTTCACCTGAAGAACAAAACAGCAGAAACGTACCTCTCTTTTATGTGAATGATCAAATATAAAAGCATGACAGTGAAGAAGAGAGGAGAGTTTTCAAGCTCTAAACTAGACATGAGTACTAATTCATCTATGGCTGTGTGCTGATAGAAGCAGCAGTCAGTGAGACTTACCACCGGGCTGAGTCTCAGACACAGACATAGAGGGCTGAGTCGGACGAGGGGGGTCGTTGGACCTCTGTGGGAAGAGAAAGTCCTCAGTAACTAGCTCGTCATAGGATCTATTGTGTACACAAACACATTTACACACACAAACACAGACACACATACCTGGTGATCCATGCTGAAATGAGAAGGCTGGATTAATCCTGAAAGAGAACAATCATTTGACAAATGAAAGAAAAATATAACATAAACGTTTGTGGTCTCTACATAACTGTGTGTAAGTAGTGAGTGTGGTGTGTGTGTGTTGTGTGTGTGTG